CCTGGTCGTCCTTTTGGGTTTGGAGTATTACCTTAGAAGGGGTTTGGTTTTTTTAGACATATCAGAAAGTCGTTTACCACTTCTCAAGTGCATATAACACAAAAAACCATAAAATCGAAGACACTAAAGAAAATAATGTAAGACAGTACTATTCTGCAAATATATTCTCACAAAAAGGTCCTAGTAGGCGTGCCAATTTGTTTACTGATTTTTTTGGTAAACACTCACGAGTTTGAAAGTCTGTGAGATTAACTCGAAAGAACTCCAAAGCAATCTGTGCAAATAACTTGTGTAACGCATGAAAAGTATAACTTGTGTGACGCATAAAAAGTAAAAAGACTAATAAAAAAGACCAACAAAACAAAGGTAAAAGTACAAGTTCCATTAAAGGAAGCAAAAAGACTAATAAAAAAGACTGGAAGCAAATGCATACATGTTTCTCACTCAACTGTTTTACGCTTTGACTTGGGTACTCCATTGATATGGAAAGTATGTATGAAATTTTGCGACCCTTAATCCCATGTACGAGTCTGCTATTTATCATATTTACAAAGTAATTGTCGATGATGGTTATGATCACTGCGAGACTACTGTGTTTACTCCACGTTCAATCTTCAAGTTCCCACTAGTGTGCTCATGTTTCTTCTAAGATACTTTATGTTCAGAACCCATGTTGCGTTGTAACTGCTCCCTACTTTTTCACGAACGCTCGACGATAATCGTTCCAAGCTGTTCTCGATGATACCTATCAATGCCTCAAAACATGTAAATTTACTAAGTCCTTTATATCACGTGGTTTAGTCGAGTGGCCCTCTTAGTATAACAAAGGCTTTTGTCGACTATTCTTCTCAAGATTCTGAACATGTTTCTAGGTCTTAGGGATTTATCGCTGCGATTCCTTCAAACCAACTCTCATTGCGCCAGCAGCTCGGTCGACCCCTTGTCGTTGGTCTGTCGACGACTTATCATTAACTTTTCTTTAAAGACACGTCATTAACGATTTCACGGTAAATGTCTTTTCATTAAAAATCTTTGTTGACTTTCTAGTAGTTGAAGAATCAAAGTGTAACAGAGGGACAAGTACATCAAACTAAATATTTATTTCATTCGATTATTTATCGTGAAAAAGTATTTTAAACATTTAGATTTAAAATGAACCTAAAAAGCTCAAGTGTTTAGGTTTACGTTATTTTGAAAAAATTGAATTTAATAAAAAAGTTTTTGAATGGTTTTGAAATTTATTTTGAAAATCTTGATATTAACCAAGAGTTTGTTTATTTTAGAATGTTACTTTTATTTATTAAAATTATTTTTTATGAAAAAAAACATTTAACAAAATAATATTAGAGAAAGAAATAAAGAGAGAAAGGGTGCATGAAATTGCCAAGGGTATTTTGAAAATGGATAACATGGGCCAAAGACCCAATCCAAAAATGATAAATAAAATGGCAAAAGAAAACAAAAGGGGCAATGCAATGGCTAAAAGCGCCTGACCCAGTCAACAAAGACCCAATCCAAAAATGATAAATAAAATGGCAAAAGAAAACAAAAGGGGCAATGCAATGGCTAAAAGCGCCTGACCCAGTCAACAAGGTCAAGAGAGTTAATTTTGGTTGATACAACCTTAAGAGTTTGATCAGTAATCAAGTAAGTCTAAGGGTATGAAAAAAAGGTGCATGACATGGGACCCTAAGTCAATGGTGTGTAGTTACCACATCTAACGACCCACAAAGAAGTTACGTGGTTGACTAAAGAAAAAGTGGTGAAGATTAAAAGAAAAAAAGGCATGTGAGGATTTAACAACATCTCTCTCTCTCTCTCTCTCTCTCTCTCTCTCTCTCTCTCTCTCTCTCTCTCTCTCTCTCTCTCTCACACACACACACACACACACACACACACACTCTCATACACACACATACACACACACACACACACACACTTGATCGCTTTCTCTTTCTTTCTTTCTTTCTTCAAAAACACTATCCCTCATTTTTTGTCCCTTAACTATATTCCGGGTTCATTTTGGTTCCTTAACTTTAAAAAGTTCCATATTGGTTCCTTAACTATTCAAATCATTCCAAATTAGTCCTTTTTGTCTAATTAGCGACTGATTTTTGAATTTTTTCGTCGCTAATAGGACAAAAAGGACTAATATGAAATGTTTTGAAGAGTTAAGGGACAAATATGAAACTTTTTAAAATTAAGGGATCAAAATGAAATTCGATGTATAGTTAAAAGAGCAAAAAGAATATTTTTCCATTTTAAACTTATTTGGATCAAAGAAGGTGTTTGAGGGAGAACAGAGGATGAACACATGAGTGTTCAACTTTCGCATTTCCAGATCTTGCTCAAACGCCGCCCAAATCAAAAAGTTGCAAAATAAACCCTTCCTCGCTTTTCCTTTTCACCACATATTCAATAGTCAATTAGCCAAAACAAACAATAATGAAGCAAATCAACCCATTCCCAAATAAAACCATCAGCCCCTTTTTCCTTAAATTTCAATACAATACATCATTTTACATTAATTGAAGGCAAGATAACAAGTATAACACGAAGAAATGTGAGAATATAAAGGAAGTTGAAGAAATAAACCTCGCCGGAACCTGAAATTTCCACGTCTCCGCGAGAACTCCGATCACCTCTCAAGTACAAAAATCACTTCTCATTTGTCCTTCTACTTCCAATTTCTTCCTCTTCTTCGATTCTTCTTCTTCTTTAGCATTGCTGGAAGTGTGATCAAGGAGTGCAATATGTGTGACTACAATGGTGCAAAAGCGTGATTTCGAAAGTATGTATGGAGTGGGGATAACACATGGATGATGTTGATGATGGAGTCAACCTGTTTCACTTCTCATGTAATAACATTAATTTTATTTGTTTTTAATATGACTTTGTTTTCGGCTTGATGGATGTGTAATGACAATATGGATGTAATGGGATGGTTTGATGGTCATGGAGATGGTACATGTTATAGTGTAAAATTATCTCTGCTTGTATACTCACGTGAATCTCAATGCAACAAATATCCTTTGAATTCAAATAAAATAATTTTTAATCTATTTTTATTTCAATTCAATTTCATCTTATGACTCATGATAACATATGATGAGAAGTTTATGTATGAAGTGTTGAATTGTATGTAATAAAACAAAGTTGTTTTTCACTTTGAACTTTACTTTTAATACTTAATTCAAATTTATTTCATGGTTTCAAAAGTAAGATGAGATGTTGATTTATGGTGAGGTGATAATTCAAAAATAATTTGGTATGAATGATGTAATTTGAACATGGTTATGACATGGAGTTAACCTGCCTTGAGTTTTAATTTGAAATGATGATAAGATGGTAACATTGAATCAAATGATAATGCAATTTAAAAAATGATTACATAACATTTTTTTTAATTACAAAATAATGATGAACAATGATATTTATGATAAAATGAAGAGTAAAGTTTGAATGGGAGATGAAATTTGACTCTAATGATGAATAATAGTAATGATATATGATTCATTCATCTAGTTTTTTTTGACCATTTTATGATGCACAAGATGACATGAATAATGACATGTAAACATGGACTAAGATAACAAGAAACCTCTATTTATTTTATCAATGACTAAACTAAAATACAAAGCTAGGAAGAAAGGGAATTGAATAGGCACAAACTGACATCTTTGCACAAATTCCTTTTAGTTGATTTTTATTTGACTTAGATGAGTCATACTTGGAAAACACAATGTATGTAATGCTATTGAATTAAAAACGAATACAAAAATTTGATGGGATAAGATTAGGATACGATAAATAAGATAAAATTTGGTGGGATAAAATTACTTACATTAATAAGATAAAAATCCGTAAAATGAATATGAGTAATTACCCACTAAAATAAGTAGGTATGAGTATTTTAGTATCCTTCGTACTCCATATCCGCACAATATATATTATAAATTTTTGTTTTTATAATTATCTATCCATCTTAATTTATTAATTTTATTAAATACATCAGTGTTAAATTTGTACTTCTACAACACTATTAAGCTTGTATCATTTTAATATAAATGTTTTTTTCTTAATTCAATAATAACACCCTTGAATTTTTCTAATATTGTTAAATAATTAAAAAAAACATGATAAATGATATTTGATTAATTATTTTTATTAAAAATACATATGACTATGAGTACTTTGGTGTTTATAAAATACATGTAATAGTATAAATGTTAGTGCTCGTAAATATAAATTTGAAGACAATATTTTTAATTAACAAATATAAGGATAGATAGTATAGTATCCAAACTCTGTTTCCCTTTCCTTCACCTTCTTAAACAAAACAAAACCTAGAAGAATAAACTCCATTACCAAACCTTAACAATAAAAGATTGAAAAAATGTCTAGACGTTTTTAATATACATATGATTCATTAGATCAAAAATAGAAATACATGGACATGAGAGATCTATTTCCAAAATAATATACTTATATTATCCACACCCATTAATGATAATTATTTTATAATATATACATGTTTAAATTTAAAATAATAATAATAATAATAATAATAATAATAATAATAATAATAATAATAATAATACATTTATTAAATTGATGAATCATTTTATAATATTAAAAAAGAATTATAAAGATATTCTTTTGCCCTTGTTACACTAGTGAATAATCGAAAAAGTAAAAAAAATAGAGGAAAGGAAAGGAAAAGGGTTTATTGCCAAATGAAGAAGGCTCACGAGATACGCATTAGTTCAACCACATGCTAACTTACCTCTTCTCTCCGGTGGCGGTCACTAATGTCCTTTGCCGGAGGCACTCACTCCCATTTCACCGCCGGCGTAGATCACCCTCTAAGGTTCGACATCCAATTTCCATTTTTTCCTTTTCTCTCTTTCAATTTCTCATCTGGGTAGTTCCCTTTTCGCTCAAAGTTTTCATTTTTTTTAGATTCAGAATTGTTGAGTGATACCCTTTTCCGTACAACAATGAAAGCAGGAAAAGTGAACCACGAAGAAGACGAGTACGATGAGGAAGACTTCAATTCTTCAAAAAAACAAGGCACTTCCTCTGCCCCTAACACCAACAAAGGTACTTTTCATGTTTCTTCTAAAAAAAACATATTTTTACCCTTTTCTTATGTTATTGTTAGATCCGATTATAGGGGTGTTTTTTGTTTTGCAAGATGTTTTGTATTTATTTTGGAAAGGTTATTGAATTGGGTAAATTGAATTTGTTGGAGGTCACCTTAGTTTAGCATTTGATATCTTGAAATGTTGTATTGGTTTAATTTGTTGTGTAAGCAGATGGAAAAGCTACTGATAAGGCTAGTGTAATAAGATCGAAACATTCTGTAACCGAGCAGCGAAGAAGAAGCAAGATAAATGAGAGGTATGTGTGAAAATATTGCTGGAATTTGCTTAGTATTGTAGTGTATGCTTATTGAAACAGAACTTGGAAACTAGCTCCAGTGTAATTGTTGATTCTCTTATGCGGCGCTATTGTGGATATCAATGGCGGCTTTTTGGTTGGCAACAATGGTAAATATCGGCCTATATTGCTTTTTTTTTTTTGCCATAATCCGCTGTGACGGAGCCACAAAGCAGCCCGTATGGCAGGATTTTGGCTCTTTGCCATGGACTTCCATCCGCCATTGATAACACTGGTTTCTGAGATCCATGAGAGTTGTGTTGTTGAAGTTTAGTGCTTTAAGTTGATGTTTTTATAATTTGTCACTAAGATTTGGAGATTGATGATTGGTGACATTTTCCTTCAGATTCCAAATATTGAGGGATCTCATACCTCATTGTAATCAAAAGAGGGACACAGCGTCGTTCTTATTAGAGGTACTTTTTGTAATCTTAGAAATACTTATCATTTTCATGTTTACGTTAGTTGAGAATTTAGCTGACCGTAAATCTTAGAATCTGTTGATTTATTATGTTTCTCTGCAGGTGATTGAGTATGTTCAGTACTTACAGGAGAAGGTTCAAAAATATGAAGGCTCATATCAAGGTTGGAGTCAAGAGCCATCGAAGTTGATGCCATGGGTAAATTTATTGAACCATAGTTTTAGGTTCTCGTGCTTTTGTTGATTTATTGATATAGAATGCTTACCTGCAATAATATTGCAGAGAAATAGCCATTGGCGTGTCCAAAACTTTGTTGGTCAACCTCCCGTTGTAAAGAACGGTTCAGGTCCGGCATTACCATTTCCCGGAAAGTTTGACGAAAGCAACATTAGTATCTCTCCAACTATGCTTAGTGGTACTCAGAATATGATGGATCATGATCTGAGTCGGGATATTGTCAGAAAAACAATGGAGAGGCAACCCGATTTAGCAAGCAAGGGAATTCCTCTGCCCGTACTACCTATGCATGCAAACATGTCTGTTCCTGTCAGAAGTGATGGTGTATTTTCCCATCCTCTTCAGGGAACTGTTTCTGATACACAATCATCTGAGTGTCCCACAACTAGTGAACAACTGAACCAGCAGGATGAACTTACAATTGAAGGAGGGACAGTCAGCATCTCGAGTGTATACTCCCAAGAGTGCGTAATTACTTAATAATCATCATTTTATTCCACTGAAAATATTGATGGTTGTATGTCTTGTTATGGTTTTAAAATTCTAACTGTGTGGAGTTCTTTTGATTTTTGAATTTGTCAAGTTTTCAACTTTGCTAGTCATTGTTTAAGCTATAATCAAATGCCTTACATTTGTCTAAATATGTTCGTAAATATCTCTCAATAATGGTATGAATATTTGACAATTTCAAGGTTACATGTGTGTTGATTTCGTTCCGTTTGTTACAATTCATTCTCGTGTCAGAATCAGTAGTTGCTTTGGAGGAATTGGCTAATAAGTTGAAATTGTTCTACAAGTTTGTTTTGTTACTTAAATGATTGTTGAATCTAGCAGCTTGGATATATTGTATTTTGTAGGATGCTCGTCGCTAATTATTCTTTTTGTATTAAGTAAACTCTTAAGACCATTACATGTTCGCAACCTTTCCCAATGCTGTCACTTGCTATTGCGAAAATGAGTGATTTGTTCAAATTTTGCTATACTAAAATGCTATTGCCGCTATATGACAACACGTTGTACTGGATCACGTCTAGCAGAAGAATAGCGGCTTGTTAAAATTCTACTATGTCGTAGTGCTATAGAGCTGCTATATTCTTTATTTGACTACATTGGCCTGCCTATTAGGATATCATTGTAGCTTTTGTTGAAGTCTATTTGACCTTTTAATTGAGATGTATAAAATCATTTGTAAAAACAGGTTGCTGAACAATCTAACTCAAGCGCTACAGAGTGCTGGGTTAGATCTCTCAAAGGCTAACATTTCAGTGCAAATTGATCTTGGGAAGCGTGCAAACAAAGAGCCAAGCGGCACAACCTCTTCTCCGAAGGTATATATAACGGCATTTTTGTCTTCATTAATATTTGAACCTTTTAACATGACTTTAGGCTGGTTGAGTCAATTCTTAACCAAGAGTGCTTTGCAATTTTCTGTGCTCAATAGTTATTAGATGACTCGAGTATTTTTTGTATAAATGAAGTTAATGATGCATTTTCCTTTGAGGTCTAATTATTTTGTTTATTCATTTTGATTATGTAGGATCATGATAACTCTCTTTCTGGCAATCAAAACATTGCACATTTTAGAGATGTTGACATTAGAGAAGACTCAAGTCAAGCTCAGAAAAGAATGAAAGCATACAAGTGATGATGATTCATATGGCTTTTTTTATGCATCCAGATTTCTTACTTTGTTTCTATCCCTTACTTCCTTGTGGTTATTGTACATCCTCCCCCATTTGTTTGAGTTTAATTTCTCTCATGAACGTTACTTTAAACATACATAAACCTTAATTACATAATTATTTGTGGAGATGATTAGGTTTCTTCACTATTGCATATGTCATCTTTTTTTGGTGGTGTTACAAAGTGACAACAAAAAAGAAAAGAAAAGAAAGAAACAAAAACTAAATAGCTGGTTCGTGTCTTAGAAGGAGAGACTCTAAGCAAGCTGGAGGATGATTCAAGCGAGACGAGAAAGCGGGATGGACACCCTCCTTGGCCATAAAGTTAGCTAGCACATATATTTTGCTCCCTGAACTAAATTTACAGTCTCATGATGCAAGGCATCAAAGATTTCTAGTAAACATAGAGGCATGCACACGAGGCATACCATGCAAACTTGCATTTTGTTTAGATTGTGGATAAGTTCCACCGCTTCTAAACAATCACTCACAAATGAGATTTTTGTATTCAAGATCATAAAAAGTTGCAATCTCAAGTTGAATAGCATGAAGTTCTGCCAAGAGCGCTATCCAACTACCATCGTGGCTACAAATAACTCCATCAGCTCTTAGACGAAAGTTGTCTTAAAGAAAGTTGCCATCTATATTGAATTTGAAGAGACCACATTTCCAATGTGTTAAAATCCGCTGCATAGTTGTATCGGAGCTTTAAGGCTGGCAAAAAAATAATGAACACGTCATGCAATGTATAAGTCTTCCTCACCACTTATTGAATTTGCTAAGGATGTTCTTCGAAAATACTATTATTTCTCCAACACTAGAGCGATAAAGCACCACAAACCATCTGCTTAACCCAAACGGTGGCATCCATTAGGGAGAAAAAATTCCTACGTCTTTCCATTCCAAAGCGAAGACAAAGTTCTTTGAAATGAGGGCAGTCATGTAAGTATTGTAAATGATTTTTCATAAGTGATGATTAACGTGTGCAGCCTGGCGTAGCTGCCATGTTGCAGTATTGTTGACAGTCATTAGTTGGAAGCGCGTTATATGAACAAAGCCAAATAAAAATGTTGTATCTTTGCAGAAACTTTGAGCTGCCAAATTCATCACATATCACAATTAGGATCCCAACTTCTTTGCTCTAGGAGAAGTCAAAAGTAACCACTTGAATAAATATAAGTCCCATGTTGTGCAGGTTGCCAAATCCACTAATCATTTAATCGAGTATTCAAAACCATGAGGTGTAATTTGTTGAACAGCTTGAACAAGATCAGGGGACATCATCATGCAATTTGAGATATGTATCACTTATGTTCACAGTGTACCATTCGACATAGATGACCTGATTTGGTCTAATCCTTATACCAAAATGAAGTTTCACCGACCCCTATATGTATCTTATACCCATTAGTAAAATAAGCAACAAACTTTTGTGATCCCTCGCCAAGTAATATAAGCATTCAATTTCTTATTTGCAATCCAAATAGATTTTTGACCCAAATATTTGTGATTGAGAACTTGAACCCATATTTTCTTCTTAAGATGCAACATACTCCACAAAAATTTATCTAGAAGAGAGTCATCTCTGATTCTAGTCTCACAAATACAAAGACCCACATAGCGTTCAGGGATAGTGACAATATGCAAATTAACATGGTTCAAATTTGTTCTGAACTGAGGCGAGACTTGTCCCTCAGTCGGACAGGTCCAACCCAATACTATGCTGATGAGACCCAACAAGACCCAAACCTCTTCTGTCGGGCACGCACCTCAACAAGGCACCTCAGTCGGGCAGACCATTATCTTGTACGGGGAGAGTTCACGCGCTTTTCCCACGTGCCCCCCACGCGGGGACACGTCATCAGTCAACTACCCACCTTCAAAAGAGTCGGTCAGCCCACCTTCCGAAGATCACAAGACAGTTGATCCAGGGCGAAAACCACGTGCTGGTCTTCCCTACGCCACGTAAGCCCTGACAGTTACTTGTGTTGGGCTTTGCTATCCGGCCCAATGCAATGTAACAGTTGGCCCTGCGCTGGGGGCACATTATAAATACCCTCTTTCATTAGATGGCCATGTATCTTATTCTCTACACATATTCTCTCTGTCATTGCTATCTCAAACTCCATTACTCACTTAAGTATCAGAGTACCTTGCAAGTACACCCCATTCTCCTCTACAACGACGGTGAACACAGAAGCTCGGGACGCGTGGCAGACTACTGATTCCTTTATGATCAGGTGAGATCAGTGGCGCCGTCTGTAACAGTCCAATTTTTAATAATTAATTATTTATGTTAATTAATTGATTTATGTGATTTCTTTAATTTAAATGAATGGGTAGATATTTTGAGAGAAGAAAATATGATGGAGAAGAATAGAATAGAAAGAGACATAAGAGAAAGAGGAGAGAAAAGAAAGGATAGAAAGAAAAGAAGGAAATGAGAGAAAGAAAAGAAGGAAAGGAGAGAAAGAAAGAGGAAGAAGAGAAAAGAGAAGGAAAAGAGAGGAAAACATGGATTCATCAAGATCAACCCTTAGGAGTCGATTTAATCGGGTAAGGGTGTAAATCTTATTATCTTATCAATGTATATGATTATGTATGACTTGTTTGGATTGTTTGAGTGTTTTTCTACATTTCCATTCTAGGGCAGAAATGGGTTTAATCGATAGCAATCAATGTTTGAATGGTTAGAAGTTGGATTAAATGGCGTAGTTTAGTCGATGATTGTTAGGCTAAGTCTACTAGAACTTGTAGATTTTAAATCGGGCGATTTTATGAGTTTCTGATGATTTTGGAAATTGAGGCAACGCAGACGCTCGCTAGCACCTTCGCTAGGCGAGCAGGGTGGCGAGTTATTCGCCAGGCGAGCCAGCAGCGAACGGTCCCAGACTTGGGCAGAACCAAATGATCCAATCTCGCTGGTAGCGAGCACTTCCAGTAGTTCCCAGACTCCCTTCGCGAGCTTGTTCGCTAGGAGAACCCGTAGCGAGTGTTCGCCAAGGACTCGCTAGGCGAGTGGTGTAGCGAACGTGACAACATTCTTATTTCTTGTTGCGTTTCCATCCAACGTTGATTGTTCGGCTCAAGTATGATCAGTTTTTCTGATTTGCATAGTTGTATGATGTGATATGTTATGCTGTGGGTAGCCGTATGACGTACATCCTAGATTATAGAATCGATTGTGAAATGTGGCCTTTTGGCAAATATACACATTGTTTAAATTGATTAAAAGTGTATGATGATTGTGATGGAGTTCGTTTCCGTTTGGCGCGATAATGTGAATGCATATCGATTGTATGCGATTGTATGTGAAGAATTCATGAATATGTATTTGTGATTGAATCTATTTGATTCTTGTGTACTACTTGATGAATGTAGTGATGATGTTGAAAGTATGAATACTTTGATTATTATGAAATGTATTGTGTGTGCAATCATGTTATAATTCTTGTGTGATGAATTATTTGAGTATGCATGGGATTAAGATGCGAGAACGGTCTTAAGTGCATATGATTGTTGATTGCATACGCATCATTTGGTCAAGAGGCAATACTTGCTTGTTTTGTGGAGACTAGTGACTTGTCTCAAACCTAGAGCGGAGTTTGAAAGCTTAGGAAATGTGCTTTTGTTGTTATCGGTCTAGGGAACGGACCCGATTTAAGTGTAAAAACCGAAAAATGATAACAAGTGTTGGTACCACATGGCATGAGTTGCATTGAGTCACATGGCATATGTATAATTGTTGTATGGAAGTGTGCATATGTGTATGAATTGTTGAATTGAGAATTTAGGATGTATGCATGATGAAATATGCTTGGTGATTATTCGTATTTGTTTCTATATATATTGTGATGTGTATGATGAATTGGGTGAAAAATGTGGAATATGTGTATTCTATGCTTGTGTGTGTGTGTGTGTGTGTGTGTATATATATATATATATATATATATATATATATATATATATATATATATATATATATATATATATATATATATATATATATATATATATATATATATATATATATATATATATATATATATATATATATATATATATATATATATATATATATATATATATATATATATATATATATATATATATATATATATATATATATATATATATATATATATATATGATTATATGCATTGATTATTGTGATAATATTTCTCACCCTTCTGCTGTTTTATGGTGCCCTATGAGGCATTGCAGAGTAGGTTGGCTGGAGGTCCTTTTTGTGAAGCGTGCCTTCATCTTTTGGTCGGTTAGCTAGGATGTATAGGATTCTTTTGTGATACATTGTATATGTATCTAGTCGTTGGGTCGAGTCATGCTCTGGTCATGTAACACTGGGATCACTTGGTTTATATATTTTAGAGATACATTATGTACTCTATACTATGCCTTTTTATATTTATCGAATTATTATGATGTTGGCCCAGTGCCTAATGATGTTGATTTAGGTGATGAATTCAAATGTTTCTTTTACGAAGATTGTGATATAATTGAATCCGCTGCTACATGCAAAGTGAGACTTTGAAAAGCATGATTATGTATTGAAGTGTTAATGAGCATGACAGGTGGTTTTTGATGTTTGAAAGTTATGTGTAACGCCCTTTTGTGAATGCATGATTATTTACTCTGATTATTCATATATTTTCCGTGGGGTTTAGAAGGGTGTTACATGAGTGGTATCAGAGCAGGTCGGTCAGTTGGCCAAGTTGTTAATGTGTTTATTCCCTATATATATATATATATATATATATATATATATATATATATATATATATATATATATATATATATATATATATATATATATATATATATATATATATATATATATATATATATATATATATATATATATATATATATATATATATATATATATATATATATATATATATATATATATATATATATATATATATATATATATATATATATA